CTGAGATGTACGGTACTTGAAAGAAGATGGGGCAAAACTGCTAACGAAGGTGTGCTAAGTCAAAAAGACTTTACGTTATAAATGCTGCCAAAGGTTAAACAACAAAGTATTAAACAAAAGATAGTAATTCATTAATGTGATTTAGTGGCTTTTAATTTTAATGGATTTGCAACTATTTAAAAAAAAACAACTTTTGTGTGTAGAATTTTAAGGAAGGAGATTATATTTATGCCATCCACCATCCAATAATCCATCCATCCATTTTCTTCCGCTATATCCGGGGTTGGGTCGTGGAGGCAGGAGTCTAAACAGAGATGCCCAGACTTCCCAATCCACACACACTTCCTTCAGCTGCTCTGGGGGGATCCTGAGGCAACACCAGGTCAGCTCCGTGACGTAGTCCCTCCAGCATGTCCTGGGCCTTCCACAAGGCCTCCTCCCAATGGGAAATGCCTGGAACACCTCCCGAGGGAGACGACCATGAGGCATCCGGAACAGATGTCTGAGCCACCTCAGCTCCTGAAGTAACCCCGAGATACTTGAACTCCTACACTTAAGACAAGGACTCTCCACCGACCTGAAGAGGGGAGTCAACCTTTCTCCGGTTGAGAATCATGGCCTCGGATTTGGAGGTGCTGATACTCATAATGTTAATGGTATGTTATTATTATCTGGAATAATTCCATAATACAGCTATGTTGAAAAAGGTATAGCACTGTGAATTATGTCCAGATGCACTGCATTGAATGTATAAAATAATGATCAAACTCCACTATTCCGGAAATTAATATGTCATGTCAGATGACCTAGGATGTTTTCTAAAGGGCTGGTTATACTCCCGCAGCAGTGTGTCGCAGTGAGCTTGTCGCAGCTATGACGCAAATATTTTTGATTTATGCCCAATTTTGAAGTGTGGTATGCGCTGTTATTCCATACCACAACGCAAGAGGGACAATAAAATACTAGCTGTGGGTCTAGATACGGCCGAGGCAGTGAGGAAGTTGAAAAACGCAAGAGGCAAGTTTGTGTAACCATGTAGGGACATATGAGGGCAAAAAGGAGCGGGGATCCAGGTGGAAAAAGGGTCCCAGCGTTCTCGCACGCTTCGCTCTTTTAGCTGGTCCATCTTCACAAATCGTTTTTCACAATGCCGGTCATACAACAAAAAACAATCGGGTAAGGTACAAAACAGGGAATATGCATATTGTAGAGAGGATGTAGATTTGACCAATCAGAGGCCTCCTGTCTGCGGCAGTGTCTGTGGTCACCTACACTTTCAGAGAGGTGCACACGCAGAGGACCTGGTTTCTGAGTATAAATCAGCCTTTACTGTACATTTGTATTTTTATAGAAAAAAAAACATTTAAAAAATACATAAAATTACAAATTGTATAATTTACTATTGTAAGATTTGAGATAAAATTAAACTCAAGAGGACTTAAGTTAAGTATTAATGCAATATTATTTATGGCAAGTAAAGTGGGATAATAAAAAAAATAAAAAAACACACACATTTTTAGGACTTAGGTCTTCTGATAGCAGTTTATCCTTTTCAATGTCATAAAATCCCAACAAAATGAGTTGAGGTCTGTGTTTAAGGCACGGGTTGTCGGATGGACTCTACATTGTATAATGTATTTCAAGGATAAATGTTGCAGTGAATTTAATTAAGTTTTATATTAACTAATATTATTATTGTAGGATTATTATATTATTAATTATATTTTATATCCTCCCACAGTCCAAAAACATGACTGTTAGGTTAATTGGCTTCTCTAAATTCTTCTTAGGTGTGAGTGTGTGCATGAATTGTTGTTTTTCCTGTTTGTCTGTGTTGCCCTGCGATGGACTGGCGACCTGTCCAGGGTGTAACCTGCCTATCGCCCGTAGACAGCTGGAGATAGGCACCAGCATCCCTCGTGACCCTATTTGGGATAACTCTGGCAGAAAATAGATAGATGGATATTAATAATGACAATATTATTGAGAATGTTTTTGTTTAATAATACACTGGATTAAACAGATACACCAAGATTTGAATTAAGATTTGAATCAAGATTTGATTTAGATTCTAATAATTATGATAATTTTCAACTTGTTGTACAACTACAGAATATGTAAGGCCAAGAAATAAGAGAGAAATTATGTGAAGACCTTGAGAAACATCAAGATAATCTAGTTTACCACATGAAACCTGACAATTAATACTCATAACCTTCTAGTTTACTCTATTTTATTCCAGCTTTAAAGAGCTGCAAAAGCAACATAAGACCATTAAACAAATACTTTTTTGGTATTTATTTGATGTTAGTATTACAAACTTAATGTACAAAGTATATGACGTGATTGCACTATATTATTTTAACATTAAATAACATAAGCTGTTGTTCTTGCGTTATCCCAACAAGTTCTCTGTTCTCTGGACTTGGTAACAAAGATGCTGTGCTTTCTTTAAAAAAAAAGATAAGCCTGAGAACATAAGAAACTGGTATGAACTGGATGATTAAGGTTTTCTTGTTACATGTTGAAATGTATGCCACTGTTCTGAACCAAAATAGTAACCTGACAAAACAGAAAACAAGATAAGAGACCATGTTTAAACAAACTCTCAGAGGGGAAGCTGTTAAATGGAAACTTGTGATATGGTTAGAGAAGGAGATAGCATTCATACTGAAAAACGTTATCTTTTCACCCATTGAACCTATTAGTTTTGATTCAGATTTGAAGTGAAATGGATTCCAAGTATTAAAGCATGTTTTTAGGTTATAAATGTAGTTGTTGCCCCATCTAATGCATGTTGTAAACATGCATTAGATGTGCAAAGTGTAACAGTGATGAGCAAATGTATCCAGGCAACTGTTCTAGGACACTTGAGATTAAGCAAGCGTACTTCCCTAGTTCAGCTTTTACATTTATGGAGAACAGTTTGTGAGGAGACAGATGTTTCCCACAGAAGATATTGTTAAATTATCAATGTGAAGTCTGGCTCTGTCTTTAACAATGGTATCAAACAAAAAATATTTAAATTCAGTCAGTCAATAATGGGGGAGTGGTGCCCTAGTGGTTAGGGCGTGGAGCTTGGAATCCTGAGGTTCTTAGTTCGAGCCCCACTTCCACAGACTGCCACTCTGGGCTCCTGAGCAAAAATACCCGTAACCCAGTGGCAGCCCACTGCTACCCAAGGGGATGGGTTAAATGCAGAGAGTTCATTTCATTGCTCTGTACTCATGACAGTGTAATGACGGCTGAACATTAAACCAAAATTTATACATCATGTTTCTGGAGGAGTTTGTGGTCAAAATGGTCTCTTACTGTAGGCCAAATCAATGGGTCAGTGAAAGGACAATTTTAAATGCACACTTTACAAAACATATTACACATTACAAAAATCTGAAACATTTAACTGAGAACTGGCTTAATTATTTTTGATTCCAGAAGTTTTTATCTGTACATTATTTACTGTACATGTGAATGAGAGCAGGATCCCTGCAGTTTAATGGATCCCTGCAGCTCCTTAAAGGTATAGTGGACGATTTTCGTGAATTTTTGAAAAGACCCACCCTATCTACTTTTAAAAAAAAATTGCACACGCACAACCCTGTATCGGCTCTTGCAAGGGAATGCTTATTAAATGCTTACAAGAGCATGCATGAGCCCATTTCTCCTTGTGCACGCTCTGTTTAAAAGTTGTTGCTTGCATCACTCTTACAAGCTTACTTTCTAAAAGAAGATTTGCAATTTTTCCACTATGTCAGACTAACCACTGGTAAATGAAAATGGGGACAAGCAAGTAGGACAGCCTTACGTAAACATATCACAAGAATGATTGACAATTAGGAGGACCACTCATTTTGATGATCCACCCGGAAAAAGAACATCCTCCACTGCACCCTTAGTAGTTCCCATGGGCATCTTCTCTACTTATTACTTTGAATGACCTAACTGGTCAATTGAAATTGACAGCAATATATTGGTGGGCCTTTAACTTAATTATAAATTAAGTTAATTAAATTAATTATAAAATTTGCTCTTATATGTAAAAACATGCATCATTCATTTCATATATCAGCATTACTTCTACTTTTTTCATTCAGACCAATGGATGTTTTCTGATAACACTAAAAGGAAAGAAAAAGATCTCCAAGATTTACTGTTAAAATCCCTTCGAATCTTATCAGTGGTTGACCAGATAAGGGATTGAGGTCATAAACTTTGATTTAATGCCAATTGTTTCACAGCTGAGTCAACAGTGAGTAGTGCTGAGCAGAATAATTCACCTTTACAGATATTGTCCATTGTCCATTGTCCAATGTATGGATGTCTGAAGGTGTCTTCTAGATAGATTTCTTCTAAATACTAACATTACTATTTTAATAAAAGAACAGAGAGAAATTTAGACCTTTGAGACAAATAATCTGGATAAGAATCAACATGGAAAATTACTGATTCCAAAATGAAAGGCCTCTTAATTTTCTTTATTAACAATATTAATACTAACAAAGGTAGATGGCTTTATTATTATTATTACAACTGATAATATGTTATTTGTTGTTTTAACATTTTGTTAATCCAGTATACTTGTGAGACTGCTTTTAAAGCTTTTCTGAACCATGGGAAACGTTTTTAATCTTTAACTACTCGCAGCAGTTGAAGCCCTTTTCTTTTAAGTCTGATCTTTTTGGATGAAAGCAGCCGTATATTACCGTCTCATGAGGGGATGTGTTGCTCTGCTGAATGTGGTAAATAATTATGCTCCATATCGAGAAATCCTGTTTTTAAACGATTGAATCATTTCAAGTTTATTCATTATTTTAGCTGTAGAAAAGTTACAGTAAAAGTATATTTTATAGAAGAAAGAAACATATGGTAAAAAAAATATGAATCGTAAAAAAACATACGTTTTAGAGCTAAAAAAATTTATTAAATACAAATCCATTGGTTGAAGAGTAGGAAATATATACATAATCAATGATGATTCGATGACAGACAAACCTGCAAGGTTTCTGGTTTCTCATTATACTTTAATCATTTCAAAGGTCAGAAAGTAAACAACAGGCTTAGAGGAAATATGAGATGCTTGCTGTCTGACTAAACAAGCTGTTGTTGCATCCTCGTTAACAAGATATCATCTAAATATTCAACTAAGTATTTCACCTATACCACAAAGGAAACACATTTTCAATGTTTTAGTTTGTGTTTATGACATTGTATAATGATCTACTCTGAAACAGATTCAAGACAAACATCCTTAGTGCATTCCATAATTAAATAAATACAAAACTGTAAGTACAATTCTTCAAATAAATAGCCCCAACACAAACCTGTTAAATAGGCTGTTAAATCTACATTGTTACAATGCTTGATAGAGGGAGATCACAGTCACCTAGGAGATAATCTCTTTTCAGGGTGCACATTTTGTTCACCACTTTGAAGCGAAGCGATCGCTGGCTAATGTCCTCCTCTGAGATACCATCAAAGAAGAAATCTTCATTGAAAATCGGATTGCGGCTCTTTCTTATGACTGTGCTGCGCTGCTTCTGGAGTTTTCCAGGGACCAGGGAGAGGCTGACGCTGCAGTTGATAATCTTTGGGTCAATGGAAACAGGATAAAGGCCCTCGGCGCTGATCAGCCGAACTCGCAGTCTTTGGTTATCTGGACAGTACTCTGCTGAGAGTCTGAGGCTGCCATCCTTTCCTACAGGCACCATTCTTTCCTTCATTACCCTCTCTCTGTGCAAGGTCAAGTCCATCGGGAAGATGTTGGGTGGTGCCAGGCTGTAGCTGTTGGGCAGGCCTTCTGCTAGCCCTTCTGAGGCCCTCCTCATGATATTCGGACTGTTGTCTGTGGAGCTGCCCTCGTCTGTTGACAAGGAATTGTTTCTGGACACCATTGCTTTTCTTATGTTCCTTGACAGCAACAGTTCATGGCTCAGTGCTTTGAAAAGGGAAGACTTACCAGGACATCTGGACAGCAGGGGCGAGCTGAAAGGGGAGGATTCAGTAGAAGATGTTGTGTCACTGTCCAGAGGGGCCTGCCAGTTCAGAGTGCAGCCCCTGGGTGAAAGCCTGGAGGTCAGGTTGTTGAGGCTGAATGAAGATGGGCAGGAGGATGGTGAGGTGGAGTGGGAAAATTTGGTACATGTGCTAGAACGACTCCTGGGCAGCAGCAGAGGAGAGGAACCTAAGTCAGAATGGAAAATGGACTCCTTTCTCCTAGTGTGGGGACTCTCTAATAAGGTGCAAAAGCCATAGCTGGTCTGAGCTTTGGCCAGATGAGGGAGGGACAAGGCGGCCTGGCTCTGGGGATCTGCGTTTGTGGTTTCCTCATCACTGCAGCCATCACAAGGGCTCTCATCCACACTTTCTACTTGAATTATATGAGGATTTAGTGGTGGCTCATAAAATGTCACTTCAGCCTCTGGTTTAGCCTTTTCACAGGGAGAAATCCTGATGGCACGAGCTGTTCCCTTCAGTTCGGAGTTCTTCTCCTGCAAGGATAAGATTGTTGGTGGGATGCAGAATTCTGGGATGTTGTCAGGGGTGATGATGTTAGGACAGCGAGGAATCCGCTTGGATTTGTCAGTCTTTTCTCCTAACATGATGGCACTTATTTTAAAGTTGAACTCTGCTGACGGGACAGGCAGGTTAGATCTTTCTACTGACGTTCGAATCTTCTCCACCACCCACATGGATTCTCTAGCGAAAGGCAGGAAACTCTGCAAAATCACAATTGTATATGAATTTGCTGCTGTTAGAATAGATTTTTAAAAAACATATGTTATCCTAAAACATAGTAGTAAATTGCCTACCTTATATGCTGAAAATGAAGATAATCCAAATGGTTGTTTCCAATGTACAGCTTAGACAGCAAGAATTGATCTTTCCAGAAGAAGGAGGGTCTGCGGTTCTGCCAGGTTGACGCACAGAGATGTTTTAAATGAAGCAGGACAGCAATAAATCTAACCCACACCCCCTTTGGCTACTGAACCAGGATCCACCCACTTTCCTTTTACTGGTGCTGGTTCCCATGGTGATATCTAAATCAACACAAAGCTCATAGACCCAAAGTAGATACCGTGCTGCTCAGAGTGATGTAGGCCCTGAAAGGGCACCGACCACTTTTTTTCATAAATTACTTTTTTCCAACTCATGTGTTGCTTTTTCCAATGTGTAAACACAGGCTCTTACATCAACGTTAACAAAAACCACTTTGCATACAAGATTAGGCCATGAATACAAATCCGCAATCTTTTAAGATTACGTTATAATAAGGGCCTGAAGGGTTTTTAATTGAGAAAGTTGGTTTATGCTCTGTTTGTCACTTTGTGCTGTTAAGTAATAATAAAAAAAACATTTTAGACTTGATCATTACATCAGGAAATCACCACATATGTTTTGCGGTAATATTAAATAATAAGTATTTTAGTCTATCTTTTTTTGTTAGAAATTTTTAAGTGTCTCAGTTTTGAGCTAAAACATTTGTCCACACAAAAAACGCTATGAAGTACTACATAGTACATTAGGATACATTTAATCAAATGTTACTGTTTAAAAAAAAAATCACTTTTTAATTATAACTGTTGGCTTTAAGTGCTCTAGGCGTTGCTCGTAGACCAATGCTGCTCTCTTGTGGGACAAGAAGGAAAGCTACAGGACCACTGATTTCATGCAGAGATGAGAATACTTGTTTCTTGTGCTAACATAATTTAGTATTACACTTTGGCTTGATACATTTATATAATATATTTGATACATCATCTTGGTTTTACAACTGCTTAATGTAGCAGAGTGTATCCACTTTATGCTGTCTCCAAACATGCTCTACTGTACAGGACTTTTTACTCTCACTCATGGGTAAGGATGTCCATAGCTAGTTTAAGGTACCTTTTCATTCTATAAAGATCCCAAAAAAAGTGGATCTAAAAACTCCACCCATCACATTACAAAGTTCAAGTGGCGCATCCTGGTTACTGGGCATCAGTGGCACGAATGTACCATCCTATGTGAGGTACTTCTTGGAAATGTTTGTCCATCTCACCACATCACGTCCTTTACTTGTACTTTTCAACCCTTCTTGGAGGCCGGAGTGCCATGAGATTATCAGTAATGTTGAATCATATTATAGGAATGCTTTTTATTTGTAGCTTTCCATTATTTATTGTAGAAGCATGTTTTTTTTCTTCTTCACATGTCTCATGTCTCTACTTTTTGTACTTTCAGATTCTGTATCCTGAAATTAATCAACAGGTTAAAACTAAGTAATGGTAGCTTTTCTGTCAAAACATCTAAATAGTAAAATATAGGTGGTGTACTTTCTTTAAAAAACAAAAATGGAAAAAGTATATCACAATGAAACAGAAAGATCTGGCTAAGTCATAATAATGAGGTAATATCTCATAGTAATGGATAGTTGAGTCCTAGTTATAGGAGATACAAGTTGTTGTTGTTGTTGTTATTTTTTTATTTTTTTTATTTTTTATCAGTTTGGTGGCAATGGGCTTTTATAGTCAACCCCTATTGCCTCCCAACCTTTATGTAGGTCCACTGCTGTCAGTTCTCCTTTAGGGGGCAGTATGTGCTCAAAAAACAGCATGTTGTCATGCTTGTAGAGTTGGATAATTGATTGATATATACCGGTATATCAATATATAATTTTAATGGGATGTTAAGAAGTCCAGATCATGCATAATTTAGCCTTTACATGCACATTCTATGTTTTTATGTTTCATTGCTGAATAAGTAGCTGATGTAAGTTTGAAACAATGAGGAGGCTTTGGCTTTTCTGCAAGTTCACCCTCAACAATAATCAGTTTGAGGTTAAAACTGAATTCGCTTATATCTGTAATTTCACCATCCATCCATCTTCATCCACTTAATCCTTGTCAAGTTCGCGGTGGAGCCGGTGCTTATCTCCGGCAGTCTATGGACGGAAGGTGGGGTACAACCTGGACAGGTCGCCAGTCTGCTGCAGGGCAACATAGAGACACACAACCATGCACACATACTCACACCTAAGGACAATTTAGAGGAGCCAACTAATCTATCAGTCATGTTTTTGGACTTTTGGAGGAAGCAGGAGTACCCAGACAGAACCCACGCATGCACGGAAAGAACACTCAAACTTCATGAAAAAAGACCCCAGGCCATGAATCGAACCCAGAACCTTCTTTCTGCAAGGCAACAGTGCTACAAGCTGCAGCACCATGGTGTCTACACACATCTAACATGACTACAAACATTAACATATCTAATATTTGTTTCCCTTTTAAATTATAGATAATGACATCACAGCCCAATAGCAATACAGATTATGTCACTGCATGGTGTTTCTTAACCTGATTGACACTGATATGGGAACCTGTACCTTATCAGTGTCACATTTACATTGAGGTAGTTGTCATTATCATACAACAGCTTTTCATCTGTGTGTGTGTTAGAAAAAAAGTCTAAAATTCTGATTAAAAAAAAAAACATTAAGAGATTTATAGCACTGTAAATCTGTCTTTGTTTCAGTAAATTTTATACAAAATAATCTTACATACAAATCGAAGAACTTTGTGCTGTCTTATTAGTTAAAATATGAATGTCAAAGAAAAAAGTTAGAAGTGATGGAGGATGTTGTTCCTCTACTGTACCTGCAAATCTACCAGGTTCCTGTAAAATAATAACACAAACAGGGTAAAGACTTGGTATAATCTATAGTTTTTGATTGTTTAGGCACAAATATAAACTCTCTAGTCACATTGCCTATAACACCTCATTTCAGAGACAGGAAGTTTGCCTAAACAACAAGCCCCTGGGAATCACCTTTAATCAACATTTGCCAATTCCAACAGATAGATATGTAGCTTTACATCACTTTTATATTATACAGATGTGAACAGAATTGTTGGCACCCTTCGTTTGATGAAGAAAATACCCACATTCATCCCAGAAATAACTTGAATCTCACAAAAGTAATATTAAATACAAATTCAATGACAAAGTTGAAATGAAAGTCAGACATTGCTTTCCAACCATGCTGAATGACTAAAAACATAACGTCATAAAGCCTAGTCAAAAAATACTGCATCCCTAAAACAGACTGAAGATAATGTGACCTAAGGGACATGTTAAATCAAGGTGTGTTCTCTAATTGGCAAGTCATGGGTCTTTAATAGGGTAATGACCCAAAACACTCAGCTAAAAACAGCCAAGAATGGCTAAAAGTGTAAAAAAAATTGACTATTATAAAGTGACGTCTATAACCCCGGCGTAAATCCTGTTGAGTATCTTTGAAAGGAGCTGAAACATGTCATTTGAAAAAGGCTCCCTTTGAACCTGAGACAACTGGAGCAGTTTGTTTATGAGGAGTGGGCCAAAATATTTGCTTTGAGGCGCAGATATTTCAGTTTAGAGTGCTATCATTGATACCCAGGACTGTTTCATGAGATTATTTTTTTTAAATCATTCTCTAAAACATGGCTGAAAAGCAATATCTAAACTTAATTTGGTCCATTCCATTTTCATAGAATTTATATTTATTATTACTAATTTTTTAGCTTCAAGATATTTCTGTGAATATTGTGGGTTTTCTTTCTTTGAATGAGGGGTATCAACAATTTAGTTCACCTGTGTGGCACTGAATTCATATGAAAATACAGCATTACTGTACAGTACAGGCACGTGCAGAGGGGGGGGCTAAGGGGGCTTGAGCACCTGCCCCTTTTGCTCCATGATCCCAATGTGCCCTTTTGGTCCCTTTTTTTTTTTTTTTTTTTTTTTTTTTTATTATAATTTATTATTTATTTGACACATGTACTGAAATTATTATTATCTTTTCTTTTTTGGCAAGATAAACAATACAATAAGCCCTCCGATCACATTGTTACCTTTGACCTTTTGCCGGTGACGACGCACTTGCCTCTCGCACAGTCAGATAAGGCGGCTAACTGCGGAGCTAAAGGTAGCGGATATTCCACATTACACTGTGGCCGCTGCTCATTTGGCCCTAAGCAAGATCAACCATGATCGGACGGATGGCTATGTCTTCAGTCTGCACCGCCTCTCCAATGTCAACCTGAATAGAGATGTAAGTGAAACCAAATGAGCCCCATGGATGATGCAGTATTGTTTGATCTAAAACACTGTTTACTCTGTGCTTTTAGTCTTTTACATTGAAAATTATGTTTTTTAATTCACAAAAAACTGGTCTGTAATGATTACAGAACAGTTTTTTTGTGAATTAAAAAACATAATTTTTGGTGAAAATACTGGAGTAGGCTTCCTACTTGTCAGACAACGGAAAACTTTGAACGTTGTATAATTTCTCTACTTTAGCAAAGAGTAGCGGTTTAAACGGAGGAAAGTAGTTCTTTCTCTGAAGAACTACTGAGCGGGAGGAGACAGCCAGGTGAGGAAAAGCTGTTCTTATCTATCGATTCAGTATTTGTATCATACAGACATTAGGCTGTTGTTCATGTGCTATGAGCTAACTGCTAGCTAATGACTTTGCTAGCAAAGCAAGATAACTAAAAAGCTTCCCTGTGTCGTTAATGACAGTAGGACATTCTTCAGTATTACTTATGCAATAGGGGCACATCGCCCGTCAAAAACCTATCATCTCCATAATGGATATATGTCTGATTTTCTAATTTCCTTTGCTGCATGATGTACATTTCATTTATTCTAGCGTTAGGTAAATGTATCTTAAAGGAGAACTCATCCAAAACTACCATGATAGATATATGATAGATATAATGTATGAAGCTGGTGAAAACAAAACTGCGCAGCTTATGCAAGGAGGATCGGTTGTCAGACCTTTTTGTTGGCAATCGAGAAGGATGTGCCAATCATTCACTGTGAGGTCATTAACATTTTTAAAGACATGGCTAACAGAAAACTGCTGCTGTGAACAAAAGAGAACAAAAATAGCAAAAATGCTTAAAAGAT